TCATCAATCCTCCCTTCACCCTTCAGGTATCCATCCATCCTAAATCCTTCTCTGAGTTTCTTTATCTCTCTCCCCCCCCCCTATCACTCAATACTCTCCATCCTCTATCCTATCCACCCTTCATCCCTCACCACTCACTAACCGTAATATCCACTGAATTAATACACCCTCCCTGGAACTCGATGTACTGTCCCACAATATCATAAAGTACTTCCCATTATAATCGTGTACTTCCTTTTTGTGGTGTACTTCCTGCCATGGTGTGGTGTACTTCCTATTCTATCATGGTTTACTTCCTGCTATCGTGTGGTGTACCTCCTATTCTATTATGGTTTACTTCCTGCTATCGTGTGGTGTACAGTCGTGAACAGAAGTCCTGTCGCCCCTTCTGCTGCTCCACGAACCCTGAGATTCAGACTCATGAATCCGAAGCATTTATGGGCAGAATAATGCACCAGTGTCTACTGCTTCGGGTTCATGAGTCTGAATCTCTTGGTTCGCGGAACAGCACAGGGGGCGACAGGACTTCTGTTCACGACTGTACTTCCTATTCTATCATGGTGTACTTCCTGCTATCGTGTGGCGTACTTCCTATTCTATCATGGTGTACTTCCTATTCTATCATGGTGTACTTCCTGTTATAGTGTGGTGTACTTTTATCCCTATCATGATGTGCTTCCTGCTGCTATAATAGATTGAGTTTTCTCTTATAATAGCGTAGGCCTATTACGTATTTCCTGTCATAGTGCCGCAGTTTGTCCTTCACACTGGGAAGTATATTCAACAAAACCTGGCAAATATTAATATCCATTGTTTACTAGCTGGGGTGCCCGACAATGCCCGGAATTGTTTTTGAGGGCCAGTTCATAGCCTATGTTCGTGACTACACAGTCATCTACACTGCATCCCTAACAATATAACCTTTACTACATCCACTACACTATCCTCTATGCTATCCACTACACTACAACAACTACACCACCACTTTTAGGGGAGGAGTCGACCCCCCAAACTTAGATGTGTTTTCAATGAGGAAAGTGGGGGGAGGGGGTGGGGGGGGGGTATCACTGGGTCGACCCCCATTCTCTACCTTCGGGACACTGCTGTGGTAAGTGTACATCTCCATACCAAATTTCAACTCTCTATCTTTAAGACTGCCTTTGTATTTAGCGAACAGACACACAAACAAATATACAAACACTGTGCTTTATTTACACAGATTTTTCCTGACGTTTTCCTTCCGAAATAAAGTCCATGTTTTTTTTTTTTTCTCGTGTTAATTTCAGACATTTTTAATTTGTTATTCAGTAACATTATATTATTACTTTATTTCATTCGTTTCACTCTAGTGCTCAATTTCCTATATTCATCTGGTTTTTCACTCTAGTTAAACTTATATCTTCATTATAGGTTACTCTATTCATGTCTCCAAATTATCCCAGCCTTTACACAGTTAGACAAATACTGTAACTAAAAGATTAATAAATACTGGGGAAACGCTTCGAATATTGCTTCTACGTAAATACCATTGATGCAACAATTAAATACAAAAAAAACCTAACAAATATGAGTACTGTATACATCCATCCGGTCAGTGTGTCATTCATGGTGAGGACATCTGACACCAGTGCCTCCCGGATTAAACCTTCCTCCCCTCCTCCCACGGGGTACGCAGGAGGGTGATCCCTGACCGGCCTGGCGTGTCGTCCTTCCACCAGCGGGCCAACATGACACTACGTACTTCACAGCTTACTGACGACTTACGATAAAGAATTCAGAACACTCAAGCGTCATTCGGTAACTACTTTAATTATTTCAAAACAAAAAGAAGTGAAATGGTGTTATTTAATGTGTAGGTTGATTCTCTCGGCCCGGCATTTTGATTAGAGGTTTGACATGAATAGTTTTAGGTATATCAGCTAATACCCTGGTCGACACACGAGGAGGCATATAGTGTATGTTTATTGAGTAGCGACGAACGAGATGTAAAAAATAAAATAAGTTAGACGTAAATGGAAGAAAATAGAGGCACATTGAATGAAACTATATACAAAACGCCTTTGAACTATTGGTGGTATATTATACTGGTGCAAATTGCGACCAAACGTCTTAAAATTTAATTGCGTTACACTAGGACATATATCATTGGTCTACGCTCTGTGTGTGTGTGTGTGTGCTCGCAGGAGGAGAGCAGTATAGGGTGTCTGTGGGTGTTCCCCGAGGCGCGTGATGCATTGTTTCATAAATCTGGCGAGAGGCAGCGGTGTGCGGCCTTTTATAACACGATGCTCTCATGCACGTCTTTATGGCAGATTCATCGCCCCGCCCAGCCAGTCAGCAAGGTCTTCTCAACTCTCTAACCTCGTGTCTTTCCCTCCAAGTGATCTACCAGGACACTCACCCTAGCTACAGCCTCATCACGGCCCTCTCAGTGTTTGAGTTCGTGTTATAGCTGAAAGAACAAACATAAGCAGATGTAAGAGAAAGTGAGAGTAGCAACTGCAGCACTTTCGCACTGCTGTGGTCACGTCGACGGCTGTACCTTTTACTTCATTATACAGCCCCAGTCGCTGAGTTGCTCTCTATGGCCCAGCTGTTGCCCGGACAGTGTTTGTTTATTCTAGCGATGTTTATATTGACCACATGATCCCGTTCTGAGTCTGTGTTTTGCTCTACCTCCTCCAAACATTAGGTTATCCTCCCCCCCCCTCCCCCACACACGGATGAGGTTCAGCAATATTCTCCCTGTCATCCATTGCTAAGATCACCCTTCTCCCTTGATCAAGGTTATTGCTCCATCCTTGTATACTGTTCAATGTTCATCCTCCTTCCCTCATTCTGTTGATCAAAAACCCCTCGCCTCCTTTTTTCCCTATTACCCCATACCCTCTCTCCCCCACATACACAAACACACGCCTTCCCTGCACACCCACACATCCTCTCTCCCCCACATACACAAACACACGCCTTCCCTGCACACCCACACATCCTCTCCCCCACATACACAAACACACGCCTTCCCTGCACACCCACACATCCTCTCCCCCCACATACACAAACACACGCCTTCCCCTGCACACCCACACATCCTCCCCCACATACACAAACACACGCCTTCCTGCACACCCACACATCCTCTCCACATACACAAACACACGCCTTCCCTGCACACCCACACACCCTCTCTCTCCCCTACACACACCCACACACCCCTCTCTCCTTCACACACCTACACAACCTCTCCCCTACACCCCGTCCCCTCACACACACACACACCCACACACCCTCTCTCCCCTACACACACCCACACAACCTCTCCCCCACACCCCCTCACCTCACACACCTACATACCCTCCCCTTCTCCCCAAAGACTCGTGGTTAAGTTAATCATCTGACTGGTGTGATGCCTCTTGCGGGAGATATGAAGGCAAACGTATAGCCTTTCTGGGACATAAGGTTTGGACGGTACATATAAACCTTCCCTATGTATAACTGACGTAAGGGTGAGTTACGTTTAATTAAGTGTGTGTGTGTGTGCTGGGGTTAACTCCGTCCTTAGAACTGTACGTGAACCCTTTTCCACGTACGAGAAAGTAACCCTATTAATATGATTATAAGATATGACTAAAAAATTATATAATTAAATTGATCGAAAATAACTATTGTTTTTTTCTCAAGAATATAAATAACTAATAAAAGGTAATTGTTACGTATCTTGGGTTTATTTGTTAACATTATGGATTATCTCTGATTCATAACTAACTCGTTTTATCTTGATTCACCATTATATTTCTTAGTATTCTAGTGAGAGTTGATGTTAGTCTTTTTTTTTTATCTCATTACACACTGATCTCTCATACACCCCGTCACATATACATCCCCTCATACACCCCATCATATATACATCCCCTCATACCCCCCATCATATATACATCCCCTCATACACCCTATCATATATACATCCCCTCATACACCCCATCATATATACATCCCCTCATACACCTCATCATATATACACCCCCTCATACACCCCATCACATATACACCCCCCGTCATACACCCCATCACATATACACCCCCGTCATACACCCCATCATATATTCACCCCCTCATACACACATCATTATACACAAACAGAAACAAACAAGGTGTATTTCCATCCGGTCATTTATGTCATTTATACTATTCATTAAAGTGGGGGAAGTCCGGTTACCTCCCTTCCCTCAATGTGACCCCATGAACCTCCCCCAGACCCCCTTCTCTTCATGACCCAATCCTGACCCTGCTGGACCCCCTGACCCTGACATATTCACCCCTGTCTCTCATACTTCCTGTAACACACACTCTATCTTATCACATATCCACCCCATTAGACCCATCACATATCCCCATTAGACCTATCACATATCCATTAGACCTATCACATATCCACCCCATTAGACCTATCACATATCCACCCATTAGACCTATCACATATCCTCCCCATTAGACCTATCACATATCCACCCCCATTAGATATCACATATCACATATCCATCCCCCCATTAGACCCATCACATATCCACCCCCATTAGACCTATCACATATCCACCCCCATTAGACCTATATATCCATCACATATCCACCCCCATTAGACCCATCACATATCCACCCCCATTAGACCTATCACATATCCACCTCCATTAGACCTATCACATATCCACCCCCATTAGACCTATCACATATCCACCCCCATTTGACCTATCACATATCCACCTCCATTAGACCTATCACATATCCACCCCCATTAGACCTATCACATATCCACCTCCATTAGACCTATCACATATCCACCCCCATTAGACCTATCACATATCCACCTCCATTAGACCTATCACATATCCACCCCCATCAGACCTATCACATATCCACCTCCATTAGACCTATCACATATCCACCTCCATACTGTCTTTCCTTGAGATGATTTCTGAGAGTCTCACCGTACGCCTCTCTTGTTGCAGAAGTTTTCAAGGATGATGCAGCGTGTTGCCCTCCTGCTTGTGGTGGTGGCTCTGGCCGGTCCTGCCGCAGCCTGCAAGTACTGGTGCAAGACTCCAAACAGCAATACCTACGAGTGTTGTGATAAAGGCAACCCTTATTATACGCCCCAGGGTAAGTGTCAAGGGTGGTAGGGGAAGTGGGTGTAGGGGGAGGTTAGAGAAGTAGGGAGAATATGGGGAGGTGTCGGGGCGTTAAGGGAATTTAGAAGAATTTAGGGGAGATTAGAGGAGTAGGGAGAATGTAGGAGATGAGGGAAGTACGGGAAATATGGGGAAATGTGGGGGAGGTTAAGGAAGTAATGAGGGTGATGAGGGGAAGTAGGAAATGGGAGAATGAGGAAGGAGAAGGTAAGAGAAGGAGAAACAAGGGAAGGTAGAAGAATGAGGAGTGAGATGAATGAATGATGAAGAAGCATGAGTAGAAGAAATTGAGATAGAAAAAGAGAAAGATAGAAATGAGGGATAGTTTACAAGGGTGAGTAAGAAAGGGATGAATAGGAACAACAGGAGAGAGAGAGAGAGAGAGAGAGAGAGAGAGAGAGAGAGAGAGAGAGAGAGAGAGAGAGAGAGAGAGAGAGAGAGAGAGAGAGAGAGAGAGAGAGAGTTAACGAACAATAGAACAGACAAGCTTCATAAAGACAAAAAATTACGAGAGTAGAGAAAGTTGTCGTCCATGCACACACACACACACACACACACACACACACACACACACACACACACACACACACACACCCACCCACCCAGGAGACAATGTGAGACTAAGTATTGTTATCTCCATCCTGATGACCCAAATTGACCGATGACTCTCATGAAACTACAACTGTTCGTCTCGTTGCAGAAGAAGACTACGACACTCCGTATGTTAGTGGTGAGTACACAGCTGCCGGTGCATGACAGTCTTATTGGCATAACTGTAAAGAAGAACAAAAATCCTTGGTTAAAATCTGTCATGAAAATCACTAACTCGAGATTAATGTCAGTAAAATTCTGCATGACTTTGCATGATCAATGTTGCACAAGCAGAAATGTGATTTACGAGAATAGATATACGTTATTTGACAGAAAACATTACGATTGCATGAAAGACTATATACGTAAATACATCATTTCTGTAGGATACATAATTTATACATACTTTTCTTTATTAAATAGATTCAGAAAGTCATCCTCTATTGATTAACTGTTAATTTTAATAAAGATCATGTTGAATTAGTTTACCTGTAATTAAGTTGATGTTATTAAACTACAGGTTAAATAAGTATTGAGTAAGTTGACGTAAGTTAATGATGAATGTTATGACAGGTTACAGAAGTGCATGATTATGAATATGAACTGCATGAATAGATAAGTTATGTGTTATACAGAACATACACTCAGTCATGTACACACACACACACACACACACACACACACACACACACACACACACACAGCTAATCGGTAACAATAGACAGACAGAAATACAGGCATACAAACATAGATAAACAGTGAGCTAAGAAGCAACAACAGACAGACAGACAGACAGAGAGACAGACAGACTGACTTAAGAACGTTAACGACAACATGAGAGTGACAGAAGGACCCCCCCTCCTCCCTCCTCCAACAGACGACTGCTCCTACTGGTGCCTGAAGCCTCATACCACAGACTACCAGTGTTGTGACACCCTCGACTACTCACTACAAGGAGATGAGTCACTCTACCACGACGAGTCACAACCAAGTGGTGAGTCATTTTTAGGACATTGGGTTGCTAGTTAGTTAGTCATGGGTCGCAAATAACTAGATGGGTGTTTTCTGAGACGGTGAAATGAGAGTTGGTTGGCGGTGAGTCGCGAATTGTTAGTGAGTCATTTCTGGTTGGTGTTGAACCACTTCATGGCGGTGATTGGCTAGGGTCACTGCGAGGGATTTGATTGGCTGTGACTAAATACTCTTAACCTAACCTAACCGAATATGCATGACTGCCTCTTCTGGACTTTAATTGGTGACAAAGCCTTACGTAAGTGATCATACGTTTGTGGTAAGTCGTGACTCAGTGGTGAGTCGTGAGTCAGTGGTGAGTCGTGAGTTAATTGTGAGTTCCAAGCCATTGGTGAGTTATTTACTAAGTGGCAAGTAATGTGAGTTGGAGATGAATTATTCGTGCGAAGTAAATCTTTTTTTTGTGTGGGGGGGGGAGGGATGGGTCGTCCGCGGGTAGTGAGTTACTAGGGCGGTGAGTGAGTCGTCCGTCGACGATGAATGAGTCGTTCGTGGATGGTGAGTGAGTCGTTCAGAGGCAGTGAATCACTCATACCCATAGAATCAGAGAGAGAGAGAGAGAGGGGGGATAATGAACTCGAGACCCGTCCAACGCCACACACTGGATCTGTCAAGCTCTTGGGAATCTCAAGGGACGGCGAGAGGCTCTAGGAAGCTATCAACACAGACTACATAACGCCACACTAAGGCTCGGGATGGCTGGGCACGGGAGAGAGGCAGGAATGAGGCCAATCAGAGGCTTCTACCACACCCGATTACGTATTGAGCGTAGGTGAATATTTGATTCCCCGCGCGAAGGATTTTATATATTCGTGATTATATAAGATTTGAGAGAGAGAGAGAGAGAGAGAGAGAGAGAGAGAGACTTAAGGAGGAAAGCATTATGAAGCAAATGGGTGAGAGTGTTGCATGTAAACAAAACAAAACACGTGGCCACCTTTCTAACATGACTTGCACCACCACCATCGCCATCATAGACACACACCCAAACTTTCCACCTGTCATTACTATCACCACCCATCCTTAACACCACCCTCATCACTGACATTTCACTCCATCATCATCACTACCAGCATCACCACCATCCTTACTGCCACCACCACTTCCAACACTACCATTCCTATCAACATCACCATCACCATATCCTGCTATTACTACTACTACGCCACCATTACCGCCCACCCCTAAAACAACACCAACAACAACAACAACCACCACCACACCCACCACCACGACCACCAGCACCCTCCTCACTACCACCATCACCACCATCATCAGCCCCACCCTTCACTACTACTACTACTACTACCACTACTACTCACCCTGTACACTAAACGCTGGGTCAAGCTAGGTCACTCGTCGATTGTATGTACCGGGTCACTGAATAGTTTTTATATTTTTATTATTTATAATTTTGTTACTGTGTGGTTTAATATATAGTAACTGACGTATTATAAAATGGACACTAATAATAATAATAATGATAATAATAATAATAATAAGTTGGGATTAGTTATGGGATTTAAGAAAGTTCAAGATAGGATTAGTGTCTTGGGAAAGTAAATCCATGTTTGTATCTTATTTTAGATAGTTGAAGTTAATTAAGATATTGGTCTCGCATAGGTTAAGGGTGCCCTGACAAATTGACATTTCCCGACACGCCAGCCATATAATATTCTACCTGTCCATCTACATCTGATTCTACATAATTTACCTGTGGCCTTCGAATTTTGACAGTTACTACATTATTTATTTACGTTTAATGATATATTTCTTTTAGATGACGCAAGTTCTACAACGACAGCAGGCACAGGTAAACACTACCGTCAACCCACCTGTGTTGAATAAGGGTCACTGAAGATTAGCCCCCAAGCTTATTACACCTTAAGATTAATCCCAGCTTATTTCATCTCAAGATCAGTCACACGTCTATTTCAGCTTAAGATTAGCCTCCAAGCTTATTTTACCTTAAGATTAGCCCCCAGTTTATTCAAGCTTAATAATAATCTCCATCTTATTTCACCTGAAGATTAACCACTCTAACGCTAACCTCACCTAACCTTACCCCCCCATCAGGTAGGGTTATGGCGTTTTATCATTGGGTGAAACAAGCTGGTGGGGTTAAACTTCAGTGACCCTTCCGCAGTATTGCTTCACCATTACTTCTCTGTCTTCCCCCTCACCCCATCCTCTGTTTCTTACTGAATATGAGGAAGGTAACACAGAAACATCAGGTTCCTGTGTGTCTATAACGAGAACCGGAGTTAAACAATGGATATATCAGATTCTTGGGGGGTTTGCCGGGTTAATATAGGAAATGCACGTGGTTAAGATGGATATATATCATTGTGACGTTGATATATTAGATCTTGAGTCAGTAATATAGTTCACCCACACTATACAGCATGACCTCACTCGTGTACCTTCTTGTGACGGCTGATCCTCTGACATATACTAAGAATCTTTCCTTCACGGTTAACACGACTAAGCATGACTGTAAACTGACTGTATCTCTGTTTAATCTTATGGTTTGATCTCAACTTGTCTCTTTTATTATTTTCTTGTTTCTATTACTTTAGTTTTTAAGTATATATAATTAATGGACCTTAAATAACCTAAGTCGTTTTTGTGAATAATTATATATGTAAGGTGTTTTATATCCCTTTAAGTTTAGGTATTTTAAATAAAACTTAAATATGTCGTTTTTGTATGGAAGGTGATTTATATTCCTTAAATTTCTGGTATAATTAATAAATCATAAGTAAATTAGTCGTTTTTATATAGAAAGTGACATGATAATTTTTTTTAAAGGGGATGCACAAGCTCACAGCAACTGTTACTACTACTGTACCTACGACGGTGATGTGTACTGCTGTGCTGATGACTCCCGACCCAGTGAGTACCTCTCCCTCACTCTCTTTACTCTCCCTGGCTTAATATGTACCTCTCCCTACCTCTCTTTATTCTCCCTGGCTCAGTGAGTAGCTCTTTCCTACTCTATCTGGCTCTCACCATTCGCTTCCCTCACTCACTCCCCTCCATACCTCAGGATGACCTCTGCACAAGCCTATCCTTTATCTAGTGGCGCCCGTGACTCTCTCCGTCACACAGCCTTCCTTAATCCACCTCATTTTCCCTCATACACTAACTAGTATTCAGTGGACTCCTGAACGTTTCATCCATAGTAAAAGTACAGGAAGAGGAGGAGGTATTCATCTATTCATTTCTGCTTTATAAAAAATCAAAACAGAAATAGACTTATTAGTGTAGGGATCTGTCCGTCCGTCCGTCTGCGTGTCAACAAACTTGTTCTTCTCCGTAATGCAACTTTTAATTAAACTTATCATGAATATGTGTCATCGCAGGACAAAGTGAACACCATCAGATTCAAGTCACTATATCAAAGGTCACAATTACATAAGCGAAGGTTAGGGTTTATAACTAGTGGTATAGTAACGTCTGTATATTATTTACCTACATTAACAGGTTATGTAGCAGAGAGATTGGTGAAGATATTATTATTTTTTTAGTATTTGTCTATCTGTCGTGTTTATTCTTGATTTTCTTCGTTAATGTTCCTCCCGTGTCAAGTTTGAATGTTCCTCCCATGTCATTTTTTAATATTCCTCCCATGTCAAGTTTAATGTTCCTCCCGTGTCAAGTTTTAATGTTCCTCCCACGTCAAGTTTTAATGTTCCTCCCATGTCAAGTTTGAATGTTCTTCCCATGTCATTTTTCAATATTCCTCCCATGTCAAGTTTAATGTTCCTCCCACGTCAAGTTTTAATGTTCCTCCCACGTCAAGCTTTAATGTTCCTCCCATGTCAAGTTTGAATGTTCCTCCCATGTCATTTTTTAATATTCCTCCCATGTCAAGTTTTAATGTTCCTCCCTCGTCAAGTTCCGCAGTTCAGTAGATGTAAACAGAAACCACTTCCCATAATACTTTTTGTCCCGTTCAGAATAAAAAATAATATTAAATTTTTTTTCACGATTTTATAGCATAGTCAACATTTATTTTAGTATAATCTACACACGAATGTAGGGTAAACACATGAAAGAAGAATGTTGAAATATATAGACTACACACTCGTCAATAACCACTGTACTATGTGTGTGTGTGTGTGTGTGTGTGTGTGTGTGTGTGTGTGTGTGTGTGTGTGTGTTTCCCCCTCACCCGCTGCGCTACTTCAATCCTGCACCACAATTTTTTTTCCAGTAGTCCCACACGTCTCATCTCGCCCCTTCACTTTCCACTTCCAATTTCATCCACTCTATTCCCACATCTAATTCCTTCCAATCAATTCATTAATCTCACGTCTCCCATTCTGATCCGGCAGTTGATTCGTTTCAGTTAGTTTCCTACTTCTTATTCATTTCGGTTGATCCTTACATTACACATACCCTCCAGCCTCCATCCTCCATCCTCATGTCATTTACATCCTCCTCACATCCCACGTCGTTTTCCAATCCTAGATAATAAAAAAAGTTATCACAGATAATCCCCACAGCTCTGGAAATACATTAATTTTCCATATTCCCTGATGACAAAGCTTCACACAATGACCAGTTCTCGTCACGCCAGCAACCCGTCAGTTCCCCTGCGAATACCATCTTTTATTTAACCTGCATAAAATTGATCAACAAAGTCATTAATGCAGCAGTAGCTACAGGGAGAACTGCTGGAAGGTACAAAGACTTTTGCACCGTCGATCTGGTCTTAGTTTCACTCGTTTTTCATCTAACAATAGTTCATAACGACAACAACAATGATAAACAAGCAACGTTATTGATCTTCTCACTAATTTTCAGTCCCCAAGAGTCACGACAATCACGATGGTAGTTGTCCAGAGGAAGAAGATCAGATGTGCAAGAGTTCTGGCATCTTCCTCCGTCCCAAGAAACCAAAGGTGAGTCTTTCCAGATGCAAGAGTTCGGGTAAGATACATCACGAGTGTGTTCATGTAGTTGTAAGGTATGAAGAAAAAAATAATAATTCTAAGTATGACAATGTGAGTGTGTGAGTTGTGCCAAGAGCCCCCAGATATCTCCAGATAGTTAGGAGTTGTTGTACTTTTTCAGGTGTGCTTGTATATTTGTCTGTGTGTCTTGTGTTGTTAGTGACCTTTGAGTAAATCGAGAAATACTATTGATGACATGACGCGTGAGCTGAACGTCCGTCTGTCAAGCAGGAAGAGAGTCAGTAATTTCTTGTGTTAGATCCTTCCATTATGATTAAATTCTTTTAGACTTGGTGTCAGCAAATACTGTTTTATGCACTTGTTTTCATGCATTTTACAGTCGTGCAAACATTGTCAAATACAGTACAGGAGTTGGCCGCCGTCAACAAATTTACAAAATACGTTGCGTCATGTGGAAGTCATATTATACCACGATTATTTCAAGAGTCCGTGGCTGACGTCATCTCGGCCCTCCATGTGACGTCGTTTAAACAAAAGAGCTCATTGGTTGACAGCGGGAAGTAATGCATACATGACCGAGAATTCAATTTTTTTATCCCTTTTTTGCGTCTGTTTTTTGCCCTGAACTGTGTCTGTCTGTCTGTCTGTCAGTCTGAGAATGTGTTTTTTTTTTCCTGGCGGCGTGCAATCAAGCGGCGAGGTAGAGTGTCCGCACCAAAAGTTGAAGATTGAATTACCAGTGCAAGACTCAGCACTCCTGCCTTGTCAGCCAATAAGTGATATTGTTGGTAGGACGTCACTTAGCGTCAGCACAGTTCTGCTCGGCGTGAGGTTGGAAAAATCTCATGTGGAATATAGCGTTAAAAGGGGCTGGGGTGTGAGGGAGGTGTGTCCATTAAGTGAAAGTTGATTTAGCAAAGTGCATTCAAAATTGTAGATGTGAAAATTGCAAACACAAACGACAAACACACATACACATAGATACACACACACACTCCCACACAGATACAAACATGTAGACAGAGAGAAAGAAAGAGAGAGAGGGAGAAGAAGGGGAGAGAATGAGAGGGAGAGAGACAGACGGACAGAGAGGGAGGGAGGGGACGGGAGGGGAGAGAAACAGAAGCAGAGATACGAGGGGAAGAGAATAAGAGAGAGAGAGAGAGAGAGAGAGAGAGAGAGAGAGAGAGAGAGAGAGAGGACGAAAGACCACTATCCATTGGAGCCTCAACGTAGGGGGGTCTAACTAGAGATTAAAACACAATCATGTCCAAAAGCTTAACTATTCAATACTCATTCTCTCTTTGTCATATTTTGAGCAACTTTGCGTAGCTGGATGTAATACGCTGTTATGAGTTGACTCTCGGATATAACGATTTAATGTGACCTGACTCCTTTATTATATTCCGCATATAGTGAATGTCTGGGTAGTTATTTGTTTCCACTCATTTTGTATTTTTTTTTTTTGTGAAAGATATTTTCATGAGTCTAATGTCTTACACTGAGATAAAATTGTACGATTGATTGTGATGTTCCCTTAATATCTTAAACACAAATGTATACGATATAAACCCAGACATACATACATACACTCATAAACTCAGACATACATTACACATATTCTTAAGGTAGGATCGTCTATTTTACGGTGGCTAACCTGTGGTCCTTTCCCTCTCACCTGGACTCACTTACCCTTGTGCCCGCAGGTGGCTAAGACCTCTGGCTCCATCCAGCTGGCTGATGACAATGGTAAGCTTCTGCAGTCTTGTGCCTCCGACGGATACTGCAAAGAGGATGAGAGGTGCTGCGCATCCAAGTGTGCACGCAAACATGTCTGCTTGAAGAGCCTGAAGAAGGAAGGGAGTGATGACGCAGAGGCCGAAAACAGAGAGTAGAAGAGTTTGTAAGTAAGTGGAGAGGAGAAGGAAGAGAAGAAGAGAAACAACAAAGAGGGGAGAATAAGGTAGAAAAGGAAAATATAAGCACATTTAAACAAAGGTACCAATTGTCGACGCTCACGTCTGGATATCATGAGCAAAAAATAAAACAAGGATGGATCTCTGGAGAGCTTCCTGACGTGAGCAGACGAAGGGAAACGTGAGCCAGGAGCACATCAGTCCGTGTTCACAGCTTCCTACAGTACAATTAATGATCGGTGGGTCTACTTGTGTGTGTGTGTGTGTGTGTGTGTGTGTGTGTGTGTGTGTGTGTGTGTGCGTGTGTGTGTGTGTGTGTGTGTGTGCGTGTGTGTGTGTAGCGTAAACTGAAAAGTAAAGAAAAAAAGTGAATTTTTCAAGGCACACAATAGAAAAGAAAAGCAGTTCATTGCAACTACAGGCCAGTCGCTTACTTCCAGCATGTGACACGACGATGTGGCAGTAACAGTTCTCCACCTCCTGGCTCCCTCACTCCAACATTTGGACGTTCAGTCATCACGGATGTTTTTATTTGTACCTTCACACGTCGACACCAGCAGCTGCGACTCAGCATCTCTGACAAAAGAAATCAATTGTTCGCTTGTTATCGGTTTTTAATTTATTTTGTTATGCTTCAGAGTTCTATGCTAAAGTACGTGCGCATGCATCTTGTTGACCCTTTATGTTACTAATATGCACCAGTGTATGTTCCACTTGCATAATATTATTTATCCCACCATTGTTTTTGATGAAATTTTGTAGCCAATAAATTAGTATTGCATAAGTCATATGATTGAAGTTTAACTGTATCCTCTGTCAAGTTGGACACCACCAGCAGTTTGGGGTCTTCCATATGAAGCAAATATTGAAAACCAATTAGAGTCTCCCACAAGTATGGCTGGCTTTTTGCTCTTTAAAAGCGAACAGTGCTCAAGCCTAACTGCTGCAACAGGCCCATATTTTTACACAAATAAATTATATATTAAATGTCATTCTGCGTCCACTGCAGGTCAACCCCTTTACGACACGCTCATATAACGCTGCTCTCTACTCTCCCCACCTTCACGCTCCTCCTGCTTACAGACTGCTTCTGTTCCTCTCTCACTTAACCTACAGTACAGCCACCTTCCTCCCATACTGTGCCCTCTGTCTCTTTGCATTTATTATATTATATTGTCCACCACGTAAACCATTTCTTTCACCTTACTACCCATCCTTCTAGCTTACATCATCTGGTATCTACTGTCAGGCTCTCATATAGCTGTTTACACTTTAACCAGCAGGAGTCTCACCACGCATCCATCGCAAACTCCATCTTGTCTTGTTTCCATTTCCTGGCTTTCGATAGTGTTGGGTGTAACTCCTCGGGACTGCAGCAGCTACGGAAAAAAAAACCCGAAGGAGAGATTATGTGAACTTACAGTTATAGGAAAGAGCTGTGCAAAAGTTCTAGAACTACCAACACCAGGTTCCTCATATCGTACAGGACACCTCTCAGCTATAACAAGGTCTTCGGTACAATAGAGGACGCTGGGACAGGTAGTGTGTCTTGTTGACAGTGGCGTGGACAACGAATAATTGATATCATGAAAGAAGAACAGAAGGATTATGTAATTGTGAGGTGAGTGAGAGCAGTTAGCGAGTGAACTGTATGACTGATGAATTAATGAGTATTTAGTCAAGGTATTTGGAACATATTGATAAGACATGTAGATTTATTGATAATGAAAGTAGATATAAATGAGATGCTTACATAAACACAGGGAAGACCAAGGAGTAAACAAAGAGCTAGTGTGTGTGTGTGTGTGTGTGTGTGAGGTAACCCGTGTCGTGAAGGAGGAACACTGCCCGACCACATTACACCAAATACCTGGCAAAATTGTAAAAACTCCATCTACCTATAATCTAACCTTATTCCACACACACACACACACACACATTAACACACACACGCACTACCTAAAAGGTTTATAACTGTATTTGGTGATTTATCTGCAGAAAATATTCATTACTTTTGTGTTTTCAATGTTCTTCTTAATTCGTATTTCTCGTGTGCTGTTACTAGTCATTTATCCGTCACACCACCACTAACGAACACCCAAACATCAACCCCTTTAGTAACGCGGTGACGAGAGGGATCAACTCTGCTTTAAGCCAAGAGATCAAACGCCTATTGCCCACCTCTATTTTTATTATTACAGTATTAACGTTTCACTTCATAAATGAAAATCAACACTGCCCTACTCGAGCTTTGTGGACGAGGCCGAATAAAACAACACGGTCATTATAAAACTGTTGGGCGAAGCGGAATAAAGCAAAACGATTATTCGCCATCATAACTTCATTAAATATTGACACATGTTTTGTACACGCATTGTATAAATATGTATATGCACGCGCGCAAAAATACAAACAAAGCCCATATTTGATGGTTTAATAAATATGAATGGTCAGTAGCGACAACAGTTTAAGTACTGAATATATAATGGATGTGAACTTTGCCTGCCTCTTGAAAAATCAGCCCAGGTTGGCAATGTTTCGTAATTGCGTTTATGTTTCGAAAAATTTAAGCTTGGCAAGAGTGGAGGTGGAGACGATGGTGCTCTGGCTGGCGAGTGTTAGTTGATGCTGATGTTATAACAACTAAGGTCTTTAAGGTTAGTCTTGTTTAAGAGTAAATATACAATAGTCACCAACAATTGAAATTCAAGAGATGGAACTTTACTTATTATAACACACAACTAATATTCAAGCCGTTTACAAATTCAATAAGACTTAACGTAACGTAAATATATATATACACATGTACACTCTCCCCCAAAAAGTATCGGCCACTTTCCTCATTATGTTGGTAGGCCGCCTTCCTAGTATCTATGAGGTTACCAGTTATTATTTCTGGCATTTGTTGTAATTATGGTGAATCACTGTGCTCCATCTTTAGTAAAATAATATAATGGTATTAAGGTAGCGAAAATATATCAACGGCAGTCAAATAGTGGATGTTTTCTGCTGGAAATCCATGACCAACACTAGTACCCGAGACTCATTGGAAAAGACAGCTTGTACTGACAGACATGGAGTGTGAAGAGAAATGCCAAGCCGTCGTGCTAACATCATGTTGCTGAGGCCTATCGTTAAAGGCGATGGTACTGCCTCGTGTTGCCATAATGTTTCCATAGTGACTGTCAATCCTATGGGAGGACTTGGCGAAATCGTCTCATAGTGTGTATCAGATAATGTTTCGTTGCCAGCAAGAATCATGAGATGATACGTTATATTCATTATCGTTATTTCATCAATTGAGGTAGAAATAATATCGAAATGCAGTAAATCATAATGTCATTGTAAGTGGATATGGCATCATAATACACCTGTAATTACTATATTTGCAAATGAATGCAATATCGGATCAGAGTGTTTCATATTTCATTCGAAGCGATTCCATTGTAACTTCGGGTATGAAAACATAGTAACGTTATATTCCTGAAATAGTATCTAAGGAGCACATATCAACGGGGTTACTCATGGCGTTATTGGTTTTACATATGGTATCACAATTCATCCTATTTCATTACATTATGTAGAGAACAGGTGGCATGTTGTAGATACCATGGTGATTATCAGGTGTAAGAAGAAAGAACGAAAGGTGGAACTCTCATTCAGAAATACCAACCGAACCGAGACAGCTGTGCTCGTGTTATTGTGTTCTCCAAATACATCAGGCCCAGGGGGGCCGATATTTTGGGGGAGAGTGTACGTACAGTGCAATATTAACACAAACTAACATTCACACGAGCAGACATACACACACAGGAAACATAATCACACAATCATATACTTAAGCATACATACATACGCATTCATGCAAGCAAACAATTATACACAAGTATACATGCACGCTAGTATTATTAGTATACATACAAAATAGTACAATTTCACCCAAACGTTCGTTAACTCTCCCAGCCAGCTATTGCTGCACTGCCTGCTTCAGATGTTTGAAACTGTCTCAGTACCAACCAGAACATGAAACCGATACGAATGAATCTAAAGGTTCGAAGTAACAGATTCAAGTTCATACATCTGAAGCAGGCAGTGCAGCAATAGCTGGCTGGGAGAGTTAACGAACGTTTGGGTGAGACTGTATCCCCCCTGTTTGATAGCTGCTTACTCCCTACTACTAGGTGGACTACCTAGTTACCTCAATTTTCCATACCGGCTGTCAACACTTGCCCCTGGATGCCCGGAGACACTGAGACTTCAGTCACTTGACCTCGGCTGACATAAACACACCATTGAGGCGGTGATAACGTTGTGGACCTACAGTCAAGAGGTGGTTTACTATTGTTGTGTTCTAGTGCGCGGTAAAGACGATGATGTACAATATTTAGTGAATTGTGGAAAGACTTACTGCTGTTGTACTGTAGAGAGTTACTGTAGTGCGGAAAATCTGAACAAGAGGCGCCCAGGTATGACACTACGACACAAGACACGAACCGATTTAAAGGCCGGGATAAATTGCCTCCCAATCCAAGGTAAGTTTTTATGTACTTTGATGAGGTAATTAAATGTTTAAGCCATTTGCTTTGAAAGTTTGGCTACATAAAGGGAGGCCAAGGGTGGAATTTATAGGGCCAGAACCTGACAACTCCATATACTTGTCTTAATGAAAACTAGCCTATAGCCTCACCCAGCACCATAGAATAGAAGGGCTTGGCCAATGGCTAATCTCATAGCAAGCACCATCTTGTATTTCAGTGTCAGCGAGCAGGCGCATCAGAGTGCTAACTGTTTAAAAAAGCCATATGAATAATCGCCTACTGTATAAAGAGCCCCTGCGAAGGATCGCACTCAGTGTTGCAACCCCCAGGTTTTTCAACCGGATCTTATTTTTTGCTTCGACCTTGAAGTCTTGGATTTTTTTTGCTTAAAATCCTAGAATATATTTTTTTGTTAATAATCTAACGTGCGCTTATCAGATTAGTGTATTGACAAAATAATTCGTAAATAATGAAAATATTTTAGAGAAAAAATAGGGAAAAGAAATCATATAGAATTTTAGGAAAAATAATGCCATGTTTGCGACTGGAGCCTTAGGATTTTTAGTTTGAGCTCATCATCTTCCTTGTCATCACAGGACAAGGTTGGCTCGGGCCTCGACTTAAGACAGTTTATGAGATCCAGTATCACTAATATTAACGGTTCTTGCTAGAATTGGTGTAGAGATATTAAGAGAGCGAAATCGGCAAAAGGCGTGAAAAACACTTAACAGTAATGACTGACTGAGAAGTCCCTTGGTGCAGCTAATATTCCACAGAGAAAAGAGCGAGAAAAATATAATATTAACAATTTAAAACTGATTGGATGAACGATGTGGAGCTTAAAGACTAGATTAAACCTGATCCTAAAGATAAATATAGTGGAATTTGCATTGTGTGCGACAACAAGCTTAATAATTGCAATATGACTGGCTAATGAACCACACATCCTCCTCAAAACATGTGAACAGTTTTGCTGTAAAAAAGTATCTGTGGTTGAACACTTTATGAAGAAAACCACAGGACCAGAGGCTCTATGTAAAGGGAGCAGAGCAGAATTGTTGCTTTCAGGACTATGGCCGAGCATGGAACACCAGGTGAGGTTGCATAGTTAAATGATATTCTAGAGTTAATATTGAGGTTATAAATTATATATACACAGCATGTGATATTGTGATCTAGTTTTTTTTTCATCTTGGATTTTTTTAGTCAGTTATCTGTTCTTTTTCCCCCTGAGTAGCAACACTGGCACA